CAATTAAAAATTAATATAAACATTAAAAGGTCCCTCTTTCAACATAAATGTAATTTAATTAGATTTTTAAAAGCTTATGAACAATTAACTTAACATGTGCCCATTTCCCACCAACTTGCCAGAGTCTCTTTAGCAGCGTCACTTGTTCTGGTTCCTGCATATGAAGCTAAGTGACCACATTAGTACTATTATATTCTGTCATCTTTTTGAAATGCTACAAGGCTCAGGAACTGAATATTTAAAATAAATTATTTTTTTTGCAAGAAACATATTTTTGATCACATCGAACTTAATCAAGGGGGGGGGTTAAGAAGAAAAACTGAGACTTTTATGCAAGCTTGAAGGCCAGTGCAGGGCATTCACAATGTATCAGCGGCCAGTAATCTCTTGTGGAACCATGTCATGAGCCGTAGCGTCTTGCCACAAATTAAGAAGTTCTTGCTCCCACATTCTGGGGTACACAATGAGACGAAGTGGCATATGGACTGAAATGTTACAAAAGAGAACACTTTATTTAGCAGCAATCTGCTGCTGCCAGTGACATCACTCTCACTGTGCCAGTGGAGCTGCATTGGAGGACACTGGTCATTTGAGATCAATGGACCAATTGGTGTGCGAACAGACTTCACAGGTCTCTTCTTCAGTGCAAAAACACTGTAATAATTTTTGTGATATTTATTTGTTGCTTTATGTTGTATTGGAAGCTGCTTAGAGTGGTCGTAAGACCAGATAGGCAGGGTATAAATGAAATGAAATGAAATAAATAAATAAATAAATAAATAATAGTAATAGTAATAGTAATAGTAACAGTAACAGCAACAGCAACAGCAACAGCAACAGCAACAGCAACAACAACAACAACAACAACAACGATAACGATGATGATGATGATGATGATGATGATGATGATGATGATGATGATGATGATGATGAGGAACTGAGCTCCCAATTTCTAGCTCCCCAGCCAGATAGTTTCACCACAATACAGATTAACATATCAGGACAATCAAGTGTTGAGGTACACCTATTGCTTTTAGAACAATCCAAATCGGTTCATGATCTACACAGTCTGTGATCTGTAAGGCATTGACTGATATTCTTCCAAAAAAATTTTATGTGCTCTCGTAGCCAGCATATGTTTACAATATTGTTTTTACGAGCTTTTCTTGCTGCATAAGTGGTAAAAGCCTTTATTGCAACATCTTGATTATCACTTTGCTTGCATGAGAAATTAATGCAATAGTACTATAAACCACACTGCTAATTGTGGCAAGCTCTCATCAGAATAAATAATCTTTTATTTGAAGGGTGTATGCTTCCAGGTACAGAATCAGCATCTGATGTAGTGATTCCCAATAATCACAAAATGTCAAGGCTTAAAAACATGTCCAACATACGAACTGGTCAGTTCAGTGATCTAATTTTTATTTGCTAAGTTTAGAATGCCAGCCAGTACGAGTCTCTTGATGCCTTGAGCCTCGTACAACCTTTTGATGCCTTTCCATCTAAATAAATAACTAATAGTTGCCCAACTGGGGGGGGGGGATACATTCCCCTAAATCCTATTTTTCAGAGTAACTTTCAGTCTGCAGCTATTTGCTATTTGATCTTGAGTGCATCTTCCTTTTTAGAATCCAACTTGAATGTCAGGCATTTTTCCTTCCTATAAGGTAAAACCTTTGTTGCAACACCATGAGCATAATTTTGCTTTGTAAGACTTTGAGCATCACCTTGCTTGCATGAGAAATTAGAGCAATAGTCCTATAGTTCGCGAAGGCTTTCACGGCTGGGATCTAATGGTTGTTGTGGGTTTTCGGGCTCTTTGGCCGTGTTCTGAAGGTTGTTCTTCCTAACGTTTTACCAGTCTCTGTGGCTGACATCTTCAGAGTGCTGTCCTCTGAAGATGCCGGCCACAGAGACTGGCGAAACGTTAGGAAGAACAACCTTCAGAACATGGCCAAAGAGCCCAAAAAAACCCACAACAACCAGTCTTTTGTTACTTGACTCCCTGACATCTTCTTTACTTTGGATTGGAAGGTATATTGAACATTTCCAGCTTTGTTTCCCATATATGTTGTTATATTTGTGTTAGGATTTTAACAGATTCAGTCTCTGTGGTTTGAAATAGTTTGATTGGTATCCCATTCACTCTTGGTGATTTATTTCATTCCCAGTGCTTTCTGAACAACTTTCACTTCACTTTCCCAAAAAATCTTCTTCCTCATAGGATTCCTCTTCAAAGGAATCTGTCATCTTTTTAATCTCTTCTGTATATGTCTTTAGTATATTATTTCCATCTTCTGTATAGCTTATAT